GGTGCGGGAGCTGCTGCCTGTCCTGCAGCCCTTTGCCTGCGGGAGCCGGGGGAGAGTATGGAAAAGGTGGGGACGCGCGGGGGATCGTGGTGCTGTACCCCACAGCCAGCCAGCACCCATCGGGCTGCAAGGCTCCTGCCTGCGGTCCTGCCAGACCTGGGTGCTGCGTCGCGCTTCCCGGGGGGTCAGCTGGAGCGGAGCTTTGCAGCAGTGCGGCTCCGAAGGGCTGGCGGGGAAGCCCTCCTGGCCCTGCCTGCTCCGCTCCAGCCGTCCCTGTGCCCTTCTCAGGCCGAGGGCAGGCAGGGAGCTGCCCGGCTCCGCGGGCAGGGATGAAGCACGGCGACTTGGATGCACGGGAGGAAGCCGGGAAGGGGACTGGCGTTCTTGCTGGCATTCAGCAGTACCTACTTGACTCCAGAACTGGGCTAACAAAAACCCTCGTTGCAGTGGGGTTTAGGTATTTTTTTTCCCCTTTTTTCCCCCTATTTTTATAGTAGGCCGACATAGAAAAACTGCGTAGGGATTTGTAACACAATTGCTGACTTACAGGAGCCATCCAAACCACTTAAACCATGTAGAGTATGTGCGGGTGGAGTTCAGGCCTGGAGGAACTAACTAACCCACAGGCTTTGTAAAATACTTTTCAAGGTGTGACCGATTTTAGGCAGCAAACGACGATGTGCTGCTACGCATCCATTGCTGCTTTTTTTTTCCCCCAAGATAAAAAATTGGGAAAGGAAAACACTTGGCTGAAACCTACATTTATGTTGCCTTGTCTTCAGAACAAGAGCTAGGGAGCTGCTGGGTCTCTTAAACCTCTTCAGCCTGCAGCCTTCAGCTTGTACAAAATCAGTACTGTGTTTTATTTTTATTTAAGTTGAGAAATGTGCAGAGCTTTTATTTGCAGGTGGTGGGGAGGTGCATTACAAACCAGTAAAGTAGTTTTCTTTTTTGGGGAAAAAACATAGGGCTTGATGGTAGCTCTGTAAATAGCTGTGAAAATCCCGAAGGGTCTGGGCTTGGGCAGGTTGCTCCATGTGGGACAGTCGCACGTCTCTGGTTTCTTCTTTACTGTCTGTGACTGTCTCGGTGTTGCTGAGTTTACACCCGTTCTGCGTAGTTCAAATGAAAACAGAGGAGCAGAGGAGCTGGTCCCTTTACCATATGTTGTCTTTTTGAAGTGTTGATTATAAATTTCATAGCTCCTAACACTGGAATAGAGTTGACTTCAGGATCTTTCATGTGTGGACTGTGAACTGCATCCATTACCTGACGCCTGGTTTGTGGCTGTTTCTTCCCTTGCTAGAAACTAGACTAAGTTTTTCTTTTTTCCTTTTATTAAGTTACAGTGTTATAATTTACTCTCCCCCGCAGGAGGGGAAGAATTAATCCTGCTGCACAAATTGCCTCGGTACTATTGCCTCAAAGTTACTCAGTTTAAGTGCAGTGGTACAGTTTGTAGATGTTACCTGGGTCTTCCTCTGGAAGTTTATTTATACTGGGAGCAGAGATGCAGGCACGTGTGTTCGGGGAGGGTTCCTGAACTAGCACCGAGTCTGCTCACGTTGATAGCAGCAGCGTGCAGCTCAAAGCCTGGGAGAAATGCAAGCTGTTCTTGATACCACGGCAAGAACAGACACCCAGGAGTGTCTGTAGGAGCTGAGGTCTCGGTATGTTTTGAGGGGAGAGTCCTTTGATGGCTTTAGCAGTGTGCATTTTGGTAACCTGGTAACTGGAGAAGAGGCAAAATTGTTTAATCTACAGCTAATTTAGCTTTCTTTATCTGTGCGCTTCTGGCCTGATGAGCATGTTCTCAACAGAAACAGAATGTGTTTCTTCTGCACTGATGTACAGAGTTTGTGATCTCAGCACTTCAGCATATTGGACTGACTTTGCATTAGCAGTGGTATCTCCTGCTGTAGATAAAAATTTTATGGTTTAGCTAACACTGCGTGTTATAAATCTATGCATGGAAAAGGGCATTCACTGAAACTACCAACTTGCTTGTAAAATGACTCGGGTGGGGAGGGGAAAGCAGTGGGAGATTCTTGCCTTATGAACACTGTGAATTCACTAATTGACCAGCAACACCTGAAAAATGTAAAGCTTTTAATTAAAAACATTAAAAAAAAGTCTTTTACACTGTTGGCTTACTTTTAATAAAGAGTGGAGAAGGCTTTGAGAAGAACACAGGCAAGTACTGCCAGAGAAGCCATTACAAGAGGCAGGTCAAGGTCTGACAGCTTTGCTTTTTGACAGCCCTAAGCTCAAGGTCTGCAGTGACAGGGTGAGGGTTATCTTTGAAGAGGGTCCGGGCAAGGTTTCAGTCTGGGCTATATGCCGTAACCAGCTCCATCTGTTTGTATTTACTCTGAAGGAACAAAGCAACGTGGCAGCTTTGTTTTCAGTTTTCATCCACTTAACTCTACTTCCTGCACAGTCCTTCTTCCTCACATAGCAGTAACTGGAAAAAGGAGAAATATTTAAGTGATTCAGTAATGTGATTCTTAAGTTCATATTCACTTGCAGCTACAGCAGTCACAAGGAGAGATTCCACATCTGCTAGTGTCCCTTCCCCTCGAGCTCAGGTACAGCTGCAAATCCTCCCACCACTGCCTTCCCCTTCCCATACGCATTGTAATGCCAGAAAAACTAATATTCAGATTAAATAGACCAAAACAGAGTTATTCATTCAGCAGTTTTTCTGTAAATAGTTCTGAAAATACCTGTATGTAAAAATACAGCTAGCAAGACAGGCACACGTCATCTCCAGTAACAAAAGACCAAATCTGTTTCACATCCATCTGTCTTCTGACAAGGCATCGTAATACCAGGCATTAAACCAGATGTGTTTTTACTAACCTCTTGGATTGTTCTGGTAAACTACTTGTTGTAATGATTACATCTCATAGCCGCCTTCTATTAACTTTTGTAAAGTAACACCTTTCAGAGACACCAAGGACTTTGTCTTTTGTTGGAAAGAAAGTTGGCAATCAATTCTTACTTGAAACACTGTAAAAAATTGTTTTCTCTGAATTTAAGGATATTATCCATCAGTAACTGGCTATTGAGGATGGGGTAGATGTGACAATTCTGTGACTCTCTCTACTATATATTTAGGGAGAAAAAGAGAGAGATGTAATTGCCCACAGTTATAGACAATTGTTGTAATTAAAGGAAAAAAAAAATCACTGTAGCTTTTTCTTCTTAAACATTCATTGCAGTCACATTTCAGCAGGCAGTAAAACAGCCCTAGAGATGATGCTTCTCACATGATCCCAGGCTGCTGGTACCCACCCCCTCTGACAGGGCAAAGATACCGCAGCTGGACCTCAAGGGCATCCAGTCAGGGAGAGTGAAATGGAAAAACAGAACCCGCCGTCTAATTAGACCATTTGTAACTAAATGAGGATGTCCCGGCAAAGACAGCCATAAACCTTAGTGCTGTGAAAATACAGCAAGGCCTGGATGAGTAATACCGTCACGTAGCATAAAGCTCATCTCAGTGAGGCTACAGTATACTGCAAGTCAAATCCTTCAGTACCTTAAATCCATCAGTTTTGCTAGGAATAGGGTTGTGAAGGGAGTGCAGATTTAGTCCTTAAAGACTGTGTAGAGGCTAGCATGCATTACTGATTCTTTTGACATGTGTTTTAAGTCAGCATTTGGTTTTTATTTACATCACTTCAATAATTATAAAGCTGTAGGAAATAATATTGCCCGCCTATACGCACATTACCTTCTCATCCCTAATGAGAGTCAGAAATTGCAAACTCCCAGTGATGGCACAGAACTTTATCTGTCTTTCGAGAATCTTAAACATAACTGAGTTTAAAAGGCACTGAGTATCTGTATCTGGGCTTCACAGTGTCAGCCTTCACCATTTGATGTTAAATCCAGTGCTTGTTTTCTCCACTGCATGGTACTCTGTATGCAAAGCTTTCGCAGCCTTTTCTGACTCCACGCCACCCAGCCACTGCTCATACAGTTCTTTTACAGTATGGTTCTTCTCTGGAATTTCAGTCTTAAGAGACTCATACAACCTCTCAACTTGCTGAAGCTGGTCTTTGCTGGATTCACCATCTAGTTTGATCTGACCACCTCCATTTAAACAGCCTATGTGCAACAAAGCGAGAAAATGTCACTGAGTTTAGAAAGCACTTCAGCCTTATGAGGAAAAAAAAAACTACAGTTAATTTACTCCGCACCTGCAAACAGTTACAGAAATTAAAACAGCATTATAATTGTGGTTTACTCCCCAGTTATCTAACACCAGCAGCCCTAGAAAGGAGATCATTGGCCTGGTGTGCCCCAGGACTAATGCAGCCAGCTGTGAGAGAGGGCTGCCAAGGCAGGCGGGGACTTGCCAGGGAGACAGAGGTAAGAAGCAGCAGGGAGCTCTGGCTCTCATCTCGTGCCTCCGGAAAAGGGCCAGAACACAATCCAGGTGAGAACAGCCTTACAGTCTCAACTGAAGGCAAGATAAACACCCCTGGGATATGTTCTGCGTTTGCTGTTGGGGCGGAGGCGCGCTATGAGTTGAGCTATGCAGTGTGTGGTTGCCCTAAGCAGTGTCCTGGTGCTGAGCAGCCTTCTGGGCTGGGAGTTGCGCAGACCCGCGGGGAGAAAGCAGTCGCTCAGAGAACTGAGAGTGGCAGCTCGGCGTCACTTCAGGCTGGGTTCAGGCTGCCCATGCTCTCTGCTAGCAGATTCAAAGAGAACCAAGAGCGAGAAAAAGGAGGGCTTGCACAAAAGGGAATAAAATAGGTAGAAAGAGACTTTCTTCACCAGCCATAGCAAGCATTCTCTAAAAGCATAATGGTCAATTTTGTGCAATTTTAGAGGAATGTACCATGTACCTCATGTACCAAAGAGCTTAGAAAACCAGGAAGATCTCCTTAAAAGCACTAGTTGTGCAAATTTTTTTTGCAATGGAATTCAACTGTAATTACTTAAATCCTGAAGAACTACTAGCTTCTAGGTAGCAAAATACACACACAAACAGCTTTGAAATTCTGATGCTGTGACTATCACATCTCAAGAGTTTGAAGGCTTTGCCACAATATTCAGGATGTGAGAAATTGCCTATTGTTCTTGTATTTTAGTTACAGTTTCATATAGCTTCTTACAGCTATGGATTGTAACAGAGAAATCCCTGTGCAGCCTTACCTGATGGGCAGGCCATGACTTCAACATAGTGATAGGGCGATTTCCCTCGTTTCAGCTTTTGCACTAAGTTCTGTATGTTTCGAAACCCATATGCCGAAGCAAACTGGAGCAGGACTACTCCATCCTTCTCCAGTGTCACCTCCTGGAAGTCCTTGTTTCTGAGGAACAGAGCAGAGGAAATGTCTTATCCAAATTAACTTCTATTTTAAACTTCAAAGAGCCCTGTGCTAAAACCAAGTTCTTTGTGAAATCTTATTCAAGAAAGCTGTCCTAGTTCTTTGGCACCCAAACAAAATAGATGAAGCAACTAGCTTATAGGTCCTTTTCCAGTCTTGTTTGAGGACCTGCCACCTGAACTGAGTTTGCTGAAGAACACCTGTGTTGAATAAATCCTTAAAAGCTAAGCAAATGGAGCCTAAACAAAAGTTTCATTGTGACAGGCCTTCTGAGTTGGTTTCAGCCAACTTATACATTAGTGGGGCCACTGAGGAAACTTTTAAATTGGAGTGCATCATAAAACCATGGAGCAAACCATTATTGAAGCCTTCCAGACTCCTAAGGTTAGTGGAAATACCTGTTCCTGATAAAGGAATAAGTAATTTGATTTTTATCAAGTATTTCATATTGAGACTCACAGGGACCGTTTCTCCTGCTTTCCTGCTTCCTAGACCAGAGCATCCTAAAGATAAATATTGCTAATCAGGGGTATAATTCATTACAAGTGGTACATCAATATTATAACTGGGAAGCTAGAAGGAATCTCAGCTGAATGAGCCTCCATGCCCAAACTCAAGTGACTTGTTTTCTGTCTTACCACAACATAGTTAAAACAGAGCCCCAAAGCCCTAACACAAGATTTTCTGTTCTGTGATAGCTAGACTGTAAAAAATCTACTTATTGGTCTGATTGCAGGTGAGAAAGCCCAGATCCATGTGAGCTCTGTCTTCTAAATTACTCTAAAAATTGTCTGCAACTTGATACTGGGAAAATCCATCAGGCCAGAATAGAGTGTGTGGGTGGTGAACGGGCTAGAAGTCTCCAAGGGAAAGGCTGCATGGAGTGCTGGCTGATTTATTGCTCAGCAACTGTGGGAGTGAGAAGCCAATTCCCATGCCTTGAAGTAAAATGTTTAACATTGCAAAGAAAGTTTCAGCCCATCAGCAAGATAACAGCATGAACAGAATTGCAGTAAAAATAGTGCTTTCTGTAGGACTTTAAACTTCTTACTTTAAAGGTTTGTACTGAATTGTATCCACTTGAATTCCAAAGAGTTCCTTGGCTGCATACTTGTATATGTGCTCCAAATAGCCCCCAGAACCACCTCCAGAGTGGCTAGTGAGCTCCTCTTCTGCAGCACTACTAAAGCTGGGGAAAAGGAAGAAAGAAGCAGTTATAGGGGAATCTTTGATAAAACAGAACCGGCAGCAAAAATGCAAAGGTCCAGGGGACTCAAAAGCAACAGAACAAGCCACAGACCAGCTCCCTTTGAGCTCCTAGCTTTTCCCTTTCTCTTGGGAACCAACTATTTATAGCTTCAGAGCCCAGCAGATTTAACCCTGCACTGCCTCGCATCCTTTGGGTCAAGCTCAGTGGAAACAGTGTCACATGTCACAAGGACTGACCCATGCACTGCCAACTGAATCTTCACGTATCAAAAACATGCTTGGGAATGTTTGAGTTACAAGGGCAATTACCTGACATGCACGTTTTGTTAGCTTCCTGTTTAATACCTCTACAAACATCCTGCGTTACACTTGGAAATGGCAGGAGGGAAATAATGAAGCAATGGTGGTATGGGTCTGTGCAACTTATGCTTCTCTTGGAGAACACAACCCAGCAGAAGTCCTGTGTCAGTCAAGAGACATCTCATCAGTGCTAAAGCTTTTCTGCAACATCAACAAAAGCTGAGTTCATTATTGAAAGCTCTAGTTCTGTGTTACCACGCATTTTTTGAAACCAGCTACTTTAGATGTGGTTGCTGGGATGTGAGAGAACGCTTCTGAGAGGTATGAGTGCTATGATCACAAGCACAGAGAGATGAAATCCGTGTCGCTGTGGTTTCATGTGCTTAAAGTTATGTAACAAAGGTGAACAAACGTAATGATGCCAGGACGTTTGCTCCATACACGGCCGTTCTCAGCGGGATCCTGGTTCAAGTTCAACACATTTTTGGTGTGTTGAAGTTCTGTAATTCTAGTTCTGCACAAATAATTCCATCGCACTGACATGCCAAAACACAACCAACTATTCAGAGGTCAAGATAATGTTTCTTGAGAATAGCTCACCAGATGGAAGCCACAACAATAGCTTTTGTTATGAGAGAATAACAAGATGAGGGATCTGCTTATAAGCCCTCATCAGGCAGTGACACTTGCATTCTCCTACCAACAGCTGCAGAAGGGAAAACACTTGAATTCAGGCCAAACAGTTTCAAGTCAAATCAAAGATGTTGCCTCTTGCAGATAAAATCTTAGCTTTGGAAGAACTGCAGAAGGCAACACTTTAGCCCGCAATCACCCTCAGAAACTATTTTTAATTTGATCTTGTTTACAGGAACTGAGCTTCATTAACAAAATGTTTCAGTGTGTCTGGCCTCACGTACTGCTACTCTCTTAAAATGAGGCTGCCAGTAAGCTTCAGTGCTGGCCTGGAGCAAACGGTTATACCAGCAAAAGTCCTGGGATTTCTGGCACTTCATTTCATTCTTGCTGCCAAATGTAATAACCTCTTAATGGGCTTTTCCACGTGCTGGAGGATAAAGCAGAACAACAGCCATTGGACTGCTTATGTGAACGCTCCAAGTTCTGAGGAATACGTGCTGTTTGTAACCAGTCAATTTACTGAGTATGTTAAAGCTAGCAAAAGGTTATAGAGGCATTTTATCACCACAAGCATGAGGCCTAGCGCTCAGAATGTACTTCTAAGAAGTTGGCCAGAGATTTTTATCAAGTAATTAGACATTCAGTTCTATGTTATAACTGACACTTCCATAATGTCATTTCCTAAGGGAACCCAAACACTTCAGAATCTTTTTCTCCTCAATTTTCTGTTAGTGATGTAAAAATAAAGCAGATGGAACAGAAGTACTTGTTTACATGGGCAACTTTTGAAGTTGTACTTTTGGGATTCAACCATGCAGACATTTATTATAGCTGAGGATACTTTTCTTTTTTGATGTGAAAGCAATCTGTGCATAACACTATGTCAGAAAAAGACACTTAATCCTGGAAAAAGTGTGCATAAATAGATCTGTGCTAGTAGATGTGTTATGTGAAATCTACACCTACTGATCCACTGAAATGTAGCAGAAGGAAACCGAGGCTCTGGGCATGCACATTATTTTAAGTCTCTTTTTTAAATTAAGTATGCCTTACGTGAAAGGGATTGCACGGCAATAGACCGTCTCTATCTCACATTTTCCTTCTTTTCAGAAGCACAAGAGTGACCAATGTTTATAACAATTAAAACTAATCTAGGAAACAGGCTGCGTGTAAGGACACTTCCCTTCATAGCTCTGCCAACATGTCATATGCTGATCAGACAATTCTTGAGCAAAGGCTGCCAATGGCACTTGGTTGTACTATAAAGACTTGAAGCCTATTTAGAAATAAACCAAATTTCAAAACAAAAGTGTCACATCTGCAAGGGGTACAGCTGAAAACACACTAGTGTCACATTCTAATCATGTGCTAGATGCTGCATATTTGGGGTACCAAAATATCTCCTAAAAACTTAGGGAGCCTGAGCAGTAAATTTTTGAATCATATACTTAATCATCTTTTATAATTCTTAAAGGTTGCCGCACATGTAGCCTTTCTGTTTATTAATGTGCAAAGTGCTATAAAGACATTTCTTTTAAACTGAAGAAGAGAATGCTTTGGTTTAGCATTCAGTGCGGAACCACCACTGCATGTCAATTTAGATGAGTAAAATGTGATTTTAATGTTTCCATAGTCACTTAGATCTCTGTGCAGTTGTCACTTAACCAGATGTTACTTTTCAGTTGAAGCAACTAAAGCCTCATCTGGTTTGCACATGTTTTAGATCTCATTTTTTACAAATAAAGACTCCTAGAGATTAGCTGAGTGACCTAAATATTTCATATTTATGCTTTAATTCTGGAATCCTTACAGTAGCTCTGATAACTAGGAACAGATAGAAACAGAGTACAGTGCAATAACAGGCTTTGTTTTAGCAAACTCTTTTATCACTGATCTAGCGTCTTTCACTTTTCAAAGTTTGCAGGTAGATTTTTGTGGGATTCCACCAGCTATACTTGAGTAACAGTAACTGAAGTAAATGACTGTCATGCAGTTTGTACTTCTCTGCACAATTATTTTGCTATTATACTCTCACTGAGCTAATTCTAGCAATCCTGCTGAGGTACAGTGAGAACTGCTAATCCTCGGACTACTAAAATCTAGAACACAGAATCACAGATTCTCCAAAAGTGGAAATTCATCATATTCTGTAGATGAAGTATTTTAATGCACAATTGTACCGATTCAAGTAACACAAGAAAACAAATCAAATGCAAACACATGCAGCCTTGTGTAGAACAATGGTGGAAAGGCAAATTCTGTTGAGAACTCTGTAAATACCGGAAGAAAAAGAACATGACTGAAGATACAAATGAGATTTTGTTCTTACATGGTATCCAAAGGAGCAGGATCTACATCTGATAGAGATATTCCTTCTTGTTCCAACAACTTTAGTACTTCTCCTAAAACAGAGCCACAGATATAAGAAGTTCCTTATTTTGAGGATAAAGGAAAACAAAATCCACAGGTAAGTACATAAGACTGCATCTGCAATCTTTACCAGCACATGATTTGCATTATTAAAGTGTAATTATACAGCACTATCCATACACTACATCCTCTATCAGAGACAAAGGGTTATTAAAACTAGCAAATGCCTTGCTCTGAGGCTTACAGAAATTAGCTGGACTACCTCTGGGTCTGCTTACCTGTGGTGATTACACAGTCGACATCACGAGTTTGGTACTCTTGGTTGAAAAAGTCTGGCCTTGAAGCCTCTAGCTTTTTGTCATAACAGGGCATTACTGTTACGTGGTATATCTGGTCAGGTGTTAAGCGCTGGAAGAAAGACAAAGCTGTGCAGTTGGATTGGCCAATATCAAACCTATCTTGAGAGAGATGTTTTCCAGGTAAAAATGAGAATGATGAAACTAATGCCACCATGCCTCTGGAAATACTCTCCACTATTACGAAATTTTTTTTTTTTTTAATATAAATATACACACACACTTTTATATACACATTAAATTATTTCTCTCACAGAACCCGATTTTAGTTTGTAGCAAGTGTCAGCAGTATGATCTTTTACAGGTTTCCCCCCCCTCCTTTTGCTAGTGCAGATGATCCAAACACAGTCAGTCAGTGAAGTGAATTCCTAATTATGCAGTTAGAGAATATGCTTCCTCCACGCTACTAAAACCCAGCCCCTGCATCAGCAACTAAGAAATAATCTGGCGTCAGACAAAAACCTCATGACCATCCAAGAAGTAAGTGCAGGCCAAGGAAACAAGTCATTGACTCAAGGCCATTGTTTCAGTATCTTGTGCCAAATATTCTTAGTAGCTGCCAATTTTTGCAACAAGTATGCAGATGTCAGCATTTACTTAATGCAAGTGTTAAACCACCGCTCATTAATGGGCAATAAATCATACAATCAGAAGTGGTGCTTAAGTTTCTTACTGGACAAATCTAGGCTATTAGTATAACTCTAGTTTTTAAATATCAAATTTACATTTGGAAAGATTCCAAAGGTTAAAGACTGAGAACAGAACTAAGTCAAACTGAAACAGAATGTTAAGTTGGGAACAAGCAAGTAATTTTTAGACAAGACATGATCTGCACGTATGCACTGACTAAAGCTTTGTCTTAGGATAATTTATTTTAAGTTATTCACCAACTTTAAACAACATGAAAATACCACACAGAGACAAGATTGTAGCACAAGGACACTGAAAAATAAGTTTCTCTAGCATTCCCAAATAACATGCAGAGGTTTTAAGTAGTCCATGCAGCATGAGGTTAGTGTTACTGCCCTAGTTGCTAGCTTCTCATCAGATAAAGTAGAAGTGAAAAAGATGCTGCCTTTGCTGGCTTCTGCAAGATAATTTTTACCTTTAAACTCTAATGTATAACATGTAGCAAAATAAAAAAGTATCAGCTTAAAACATTCAATTTTAGCAATTTGCCATTAAGCATAGTATACTGCAGACCCTTACCTGCTGTTCTGCAAAATGGTCCTTGATCAAGGAGCCCATGACCTGCTGTGGAGACTTGGTGGTACTGATATAAGGAATGATGAAACTGCCATGGGTTTTCTCTGCATAGCAGATCCAACCTGGTAAGAGTGTAATTAGCAAATTAAATTAAAAATGACAAGCACCTCTTCACTCTGCTCGCTCTCCCCCCAACCCCAGGCTTAGTACCCATTAGTAACCATTTTCAGTCTCACTTCAGCAAAAAAGTAAAGGAAGTGTAACACAAGATTAATTTCAGAGAGCTCATTGGGTAACTGTACAGATCATTACTGCTATTAACACCAGGATCTCTTTGCATTGTGAAGAAAGTAATCCTCTAAGTAAAAATTTATCCATTTAAACTTTTCTGACTAGCTTTCTGAATTTTTATTCTAGTGTACTATTAGTATGCCATTTTATTATTTCCATAACTAATCTAATACCATACCTGGACAGGCAGAAGCTAGCATTGGCAAAGCCCTTTTGTCTTCAGATTGCTTTCGAAAGCGTTTTACAAACTCTTGTTGGCTCTCCAATAGGCTGAAGTTTCTTGAGAAAGTTGTATCAAATACATAGTGCACACCTAGGCAGTACAGCATCTGTGTTAAAATTCACAAGAAAGGGCAAACTACAACAAAAAGCCTCCAGTCAAACCGGATTCAAACTTATTTACGTCTTATTTACAGGTATCAATCTCTGCAGTTGAGAGTGAACCTTCTTCCCTAGCATGTCAGCACAGTAAGATGAGCAAAAGTGACAGGAGAACTGCAAATCATTTAGAGTTCCTTCCTTCCATCACTTCAAGTTTATTATGTGACTGAAGTTATAGACAGTTTGCGTTTTAGCTAATGCCAATTACGAAACATTAGGAGTCTAGGGGAAGGTTAAATCACATCAACCTTGTGTGCTCATAACAGTTATGCTTAACATACCCCCCAGTAGTCCCCTCTGTGATTAACAGAACACAATACCACACTTGCCTAAACTCTTTAAGAACGCGGTCAACTTCTTTGCTGTTTCCAGAACACCCATTTTACATCTTGCAGCTAGTGAAGCTCTGGATTGTGGTGAAACAGAAACCACTACCAACTTCTGTTCATTAGGAGCTGCAGTCTTTGAGAAAAACAAACAAAACCCAACACTGTTCAGACAATATTAATACGGTACATGCAGAACTTCCAGCACACTAGAACATCAGAAAGCATGTTCCAGCTTAACTCTGAAGTCAGTAACTTACTACATTAAAGGTTCTTTCCAAACCCATGATTACTTTTTAAAAACCGGAAAAAACACAACAGTGCACTGAGAATGTCCTCAGATCTCTGAAATTAATTTTTAAGCACGTTGTTTCCACACATGCTTCTGCACATGCCTCATACCAACCTATTAAGACTTTCAAACTCTGCAGCCTACCTTGCCATGACTTGTCACCCACCTTGTTAAAAGTTAGCATTTTGCATAGCTCTTCATGGCTCTGTTGAGTGATTAAAACACTCTCTGCTGATGTAATGCAGCCACTACAAGCTAAACAGTCATTCAGAGTAATTTTAGCCTTTTCCAGTTTTTGTGCTCCTCCATCCTAGAAAGAAACAGATTAGACTCAGTTCTGATCACAGTGTAGAATTAGGAAGCAGTTTTCCCACCTTTACTATACTTAGTAACAAAGATGTTGCCCTTTTTATGCTCTCAATTTATCACTAAAAAAAAGTATCTTTTACTTTTAGTAAGATGAGGAGGAAGACAAGTATCTTTGAAGTTTGCTGCTTTTCATAGGATTATTTGGCACACAGAGGCAAATATGCTGAGGAACTTCAGGAAAATTTTAGCAAGACCAAGAACATAACTTTCATCAAATACAGAACAGTTGTTGAGGCCACAATTATTTGTGCTATCTGGCAGGCTGATATTGCTCCAAAACATTGAAATTATACTTTCCCAGAAGCAAATAGCGTCTATCTTGCTCGGTTTTTCAACTTGTGGGTGGCTGAAAACTGGGTTAGCATGGCTAACGTGCTACAGATTGCAGCTGCTATTTTAACCACAAAACTGTAGACCACAGAGATCCTAAGCCTTTAAGCATCGGTCTCCAGCGTGCTTTGAATACTATGCCGGAGAAAGCACGCCAGCTTTGTCACCTCTATCAGATGCTGCTCATGTTATTGAATAGTACTGGAGCTGTTTCTTCACAGGAACTTGAATTTCGCTCCTTCTAAACAGACTGTATAACCAGACTACAAGCTTGCTAACATTTTTAATTGATACTGAGTGTTCTGCAATCTTTCTGTGTGTAAAACCTACACGGACACTGATGGGAGAACTGTATGGCAGCATATCAAAGACAGTGTGTGGCTTGCCACTGGAAGGAAATATTTTTCATAATATTTGACCTGAATAAGTCAGTTTTCCCATGAGACTCTCCTCTTAAACTTCACTTCTCAATAAAGTCAGAAGCAGACGAAGCAATTAGGTACTACTAAATTAAAATTTTAAAATAAGAAACCAGACTTCTCTGGAAGTGCTGTATCCCCCTTTTTTAAGCCAAAAGGTCATAATCTGCTTAAAGTTAAAAATACTGTTTCTAGATTAATTCCCAGCTTCGTTAACTAACAAATGCTAACCTTTTCTGTATAAACAGGAAATAATTCTCCAAAACTCAGCATTAATTTTGTAAACAGGAGGCTTATGAATTCTGCAGGCTATTTAACAAATAATTTGAAATATTATTAAAAAAATCAGAACAAAATTTAAGAGTATATATTTGAATCGCTTTGTGAGTGAGCATTCTGCTGTATGACATAATGCAGTAAGAAAAGACTGTCTCAAATAATCTAGGAATTGCTAATACTTAAGTACTGATGGCAAAATAGACTTCTCAGCTTATCTGCTCTTATACTGAAAATGATTGCTAATTAACGTCAGTGTTTCAGAGCATAAAAGACTGACACAAAATCAGAATTACTGCTTATAAAACCAGGTAATTAAAAGGTTGGACTTTGGAAAAAAGATACGAGAATGCTGACAGCAATAGTGACACTTTTCTAAGATCTTGGTCCTCTCTGAGGCATTAAATAGCTGTAGACTATTCAAATACTCAACAATACATTCACGTTTTCTGGATATTTTACACAATAATGAAGAAAAATCACCCATACCTGATTGATCTGAAAATAGCTTCCATCTGCTTCAATCCTGATCTTAGCTGCTGCTTTTCCAGGCTTTTTTTCCACTTTTACAGGTTTGATACATTCCTGAAAGAGAAATAAAGCCCGAAAGTGAGGAGATGAACAACGAAGTGTGGAAGAGGTAGATTTAATAGAAACCAGAATGATCAAACCCAAACACTAGTTCTAGAGTGACTGCTGCTTACTCTCCCTTAAGCTATGCTGGATTTACTTACAGCGTCTATAACCACCACGGGAAAACATAAAAGCAAAAACTGCTTACCCCTTTTTTACAGAAGGAACACTTTTCCAGCATCATACCAAAAACAGAGGACAATTTTGCTGTTCTTTCTGAAGAACACAGCTGTGTTTTACGGAGCCTTGAAAGGAACAGAGGCTTGCCTGCACAGTCCTCCTCCCTAAAATCTTACAGATGATCGTGCATTCTTCATTGCAAATTTTAACCGATGGAGGCGTGGTCACTACAGTCAACATGTGGCTAGTGCCAATGAAGTTTCATTTAATGTTGAGAGGACTCTTGACGACCTCAGATGGACTGCTTCCAGTTTTCTGTATTGTTCTGTGATGAAGTCTCAAGGGTGTTTTTGCATTTTGTGCGATTTTTATTGTTTAGGCACCTTATGAGTCCTTGTCCTACTTCTACAGCTATAATTCTTTTTGCCTTTTACCATCCTTGCTCTGCCAAGATTTTCAGTTCCCCCCCCCCCCATTAATCCAGCTTTACTACATTTTGCAAGATTCAGAGACTCGCAGGAACAAGTCATTATGATTCTTCAGTTATGCTCACTGAATAAAACAAACAGTGATCTCTACTTGAAACAGAAAAGCAGGTTGCATTATTTACATGAAAGACTTCACTAGCAAACCCAAGTACTGCAAGGAGAGTTAATGGGGTTTGCTATGCCCCATTCCACTGATCTCATTTCAGCACAGTTTTTCTGCTTGTACTTGTCAGCAAATACGTCCAGGATTACTATTTTGTACTTTTGCTAGTGCTTGAAGACTCTGAAAGGAATAGTCTTGACCTGTCCTTGCTGCTCACTCCCACCTCTGCCACCCGCTCCTGTATGCTCGTATGAGCACCTGTGCAGTTGAGTAGTGTGCAAGGAAACTTGTTTAGGCTTAAGCTTTTTTTAGGGGGGGGGGTAGATTAACATTTAATAGAACAGCTTCCAGATCGGGGTGGGAATGACCGACTGGCTGCTGGGCCAAGATTTCTCTCTTCAGCTGCTTACAGAGTCTTGTACCGATCAGCGTTGCTGCCCTCCCTGTTCCCTGCGCACTAGCTGGAGGACACAGCGAGGGATCTCAGTGGTTTTTTTCCCTTTACCGTTTTATTTAACAGCACCCGAAGGACGTCTGAAAGCCAACCGGCCTCGGCCCCTTGCCCCCGTGCCGCCTCCCCCACGCTGCCAGGCCGAGGGGCCCTGCCCAGGCCAAGAGCTGCTGTCCCGGCCGGCGGCACGACCAGGGCTGTCACCCACC